ACACACTGATGAAAGGAAAATGGTGCAACTTTATTATTTGGTGCTTGGTTGTGTTATATCTCTGTTTATATTTATATTTATGAATCTTAGTACGTTAGTATGGTCAGGTGAGTAAGCACTAGAGAAGTCGCACTGTACTTTGGCTTTTAAGGCGCGGTGGTGCGACCACATAATTTTTTTAAGCGCACAGCCAAAAATCTAGTCGCATATGCGACCAGTTGGTCGTTAACTTTGAGCCCTGTATTATAGTGTACAAATATGATGTTAACAACGAAATTACACAACGAAGTCTGAAGTTTGAAGACTGAGGTCTGAAGTCTGAAGTCTGAAGTCCCTCCTCGGGCTTTCGTAATTTTTACGTCATTATCAGCGATGTAAAGAATTCTGTCGTTATCAGTGATCTAAAACATACACAAAATTCTTGGACTTTCGCAATTCAAGTTCCCTGGCTTAAACGATTACGTTGCTGTGAGCTTGGAACTGAAACATGAAGGTGCTAGTCTTGTTCAGTGTTTTGTTTGTGACAATCTTTATTTTGCTGCAACATGTTTCCAGCATCTCGACCCTGGACAAAGAAACGTGTGATTTACTTGTACAAGTAATCAAAGGAGAGTTCACAGTTCCCGTCAAGAGTAGGACAGTCCCACAAAAGTCTGCACTGGTACGGTTTTGGAGGAATCGAGAGAAATTGCCCCTAAGAGGAGCAATACTCTGTTATGATGGAAAGAGCGTGGTTAAGAAAGAGGGCGTTAGTGACGTTGTGAAAAAGATTTATAAGTCTTTGAAAGGATCAGGAGTACGAAAGATATGTCACAAACTTAAATACAACTATAGTGGCGTCGCGGAACGAGATGTCCAGAAAGTGCTTGCGAAATCGTCAGTACACCAAAGGCTCAACGTTCGTTTTGAAAACAAAGAAAGTTTTCGACCGGTCCGGGCCCGAACGGTCCATATTCGCCATCAAATTGACTTGGTGGATATGAAGAGATTGCGTACTAGGTACAAGGGAAAGACATGCAGATATGTGCTATCAATTATTGATGTGTTCAGCCGCTACCATTGGTTAGTACCACTGCAAACAAAGAAGAGCTCCCAGGTGGCGCGTGAACTGCTTCGTATTTACACAGAGCATGGGGCCCCGTGCGTGATCCAGCACGACCAGGGGCGTGAATTTGAAGGAGCAGTGGCGGCGTTGTGTAAAAAGCTAGGCATAAAAATTGTTAAAGGTCGTCCCTATCACCCGCAATCGCAAGGGAAAGTAGAACGAGCACGACCTCCTGGTCATGGGAAAGGCGGCTGTGAATTGGATCAAGTCACTTCCAGACTACGCTAGATCTTTAAACCTTGACCCGAAGGAAGAGCTCTCCTGGAAATCTCCATTTGAGATTTATTATGGACGTAAGCCGAACGTTGACAGTACGGGAAACCAAATGCAGAAGAATGGGATATGACTTCCAAAAAATATCACAGCATGATACACCCTTGTTCGAAAGACTATTCAGATCAAGAGACAAATCTTCGTGCAATCAGGAATTTGTCGTCATCAGCAACACGAGAGTGTGCCCAACGTATGGTGGCACGTGGAGAAAGAAACAATCCACCATCATTTTACGAAGTAGGCGGCGAGACTGTACTGATTCGCTATCCCTCGGCAACAAAATCTGTATCTAAAATAATTAAAGGCTGATGTTGTTGACAGAGATGTACCTAAGCATAAATATAAGGTCAAGTTTGTTTCACCAACGACGGGGAAGTTGATTGAGAAATGGTTTCTGCAAGTGACATAATAAGTCTAACCATGGAAAGAGAAAAGAGAAAACGAAAAGCTACAACAAAATGTTCGCGAGAAGAAAAAAAGAAAAAAGCCCACTGCGAAAAATATTTTCATAGTTATGAGAACCAGAGGTCCTTATTTGAAGATCGAGCGGGCTCGGCCCATTTCGTTATTTCCTTTGATCCCCCAAAAGATGGAAACTGCCAGTTTGCAGCTATTTACAAACTTTTAAGCAGCATAGGAATTCACCGGTCCAACCACACGTCAATTACCTTAATAATAACCCCACTGCTGCCGATGGGACACCACTGCAAAATTTTACAGATCTGCCGTGGCCTACATATCTTTCTTCAATGTCCCAAAATGGTACATTTGGTGACCACATAACGCTTCAGGCCGCTTCCAATCCATACGATGTCGCGTTCCAAGTTCTATCGTCTAATGGTCCTGGGTACGAAATGACTGTTTCTCCAGTGGCTGCAAACCTGATGTGTACATTCATTTTAGGGCATTTTGCCCCGGATGACGGAGAACATTATGTTTGTTTAACAGATGAACGTAATTTGAATGAATTAGATAATGAGGCTGAGCTTTTAGCAGATGTTGGTTACAGTGCTCCCTGTACTGGTGTGTCTTCGTCTGAGAACGGAGAAAACCCTGTAAACGGTATTCAAGTATGCGTGTACAAAAAGAACTCCGGTGACGATAATCAAGCGTCTGCTAGCAGACAGAACACTGGGTACGATGATCAAGAGCCTGTGGGCGGAATAAACTCTGGGGATGGCGATCAAGCATCTGTGGACAGACAGAACTCCGGGGAAGATGATCAAGTGTCTGTGGGCGGACAAGATTCCGGGGACTGTGATGAAGCGTGCCAGAACAGACCAAACGATCTGTCGTCATCCACAGAGCCTTATTTAAACCCAGAAATTTTAGAGGAAATTGTACGACAAACACTACGTTTGTTCCTCTTTGAGAGCTGTTTCCAGGTTTTTTAGAAATATTGTCGACCGAGAACCACTGCCTCGAGTGTACATCCCAGAACTAAACGACGTTACAGACATTCGACACGTTGGTGTGCGCAAAATTATCCTTTTAAGAGCTTCTGCCTGAGAGACCGGGGCAGACTTGGAAATGAAGGTCGGCCGATTTC